AGAGCTTGTACATTCAGCGAGATAAATACTTGATGGACAGGACTGTGGCAAGTAGTCAGTGAATGATTTAGCAATTATAGGATCTTCATCAATCCTCCTCTCATAGACCTCGTTCAGATTGGAGGCGATTGACACAAAGTACTTGTTAAATTCATGAGCAATAACTCGTCGACAAATAACACGCTCATTGTTTATCATGAATGACGGTTTCATTTGCTTATTTTGCTTTCCTCGCACTTTATTAATTAACTGCCAGGTTTTTTTACTGTCACCCTGACACTCCTCAATTTTGTTGCACGTGTAGTGGCGTTGAGCTAGTCGTATTACGTGTTTAACTCTCCTACGTTTGTCAGTAAAATTAGCATGCTTTTCCCTGGCATCATTACAAGGATTGCAGTGACAGGCTTCCTTGATCTCACGACAAAATTTACCTGGATTATGCAAACATTTCTCTCTTTTCGCTTTATGCCAGTGGTCGTGCAGCTCATGTTTTTTATTTATAGACGCGATTAATCCTCCTGTTATCCACGGATTTCTAATTGGCGTTCTTTTGGAGACTTTAGGTTTACTGAGTTTACATGATTTGTCTAGATTCGTTTTGAATGTGTCATGAAATTCATTAAAGTTTCTTGGTGGATGCTCAGAGAAATCTTGGTTTAAAGACGAAACAAGAAGTCGAACGTTCGATTCACTGTAATAATAATATTGGGTATGTTTAACTTGAGGTTCAGAGTTAGTTACAGCTAAGTCTTCAAAAATATGGAAAACTGGCAGATGATGCGAGATTCTGTCAGATACTGTACCTGAGGCAACAACCTTGTTAATATAATTTGTGTAAATGTTGTCAATACACGTTTGATTACATCCCGGTTTCTCGTGCGTGTGTGTTGATATAAGAGGTGAGAAACCAGCACTAAACATTATCTCCTCGAGATTGTTAACTTCTTTACTATTAGCATGAAGGTTGACGTTAAAATCTCCCATTATGTATGCAGATCTTTTAGGCAATATCTGGAGTATTCTGGATAATTCTGTCAGGAAGCTTGCAAAATTACCACTGGGTGGTCGGTAAATAACCCCAAAAGTTACTTCTTCTGAGTTTTTACGACTAGTTACGAATAGTGATTCTAAATTCTCGGTTACGTCTGACGCAAGTTCGTTCACACTTCACAATACTGCTAAGTCTATCTTGAACATATAATGCTACACCAGTTCCTTTGGATTTATTACCTACAGTATTCTGGTAAAAACTATTGTAGTTAGGAATTGAATACACGGTGCTTTCATCAGGACCTATGTTAGTTTCTGATAAACCTATTACGGTGAAGTTTTGGTTAATGCGGTGCAGTTCAGTTAATAGACTATCAAAATTGCTTTTATTGCCATCAATGTTAAGAAAGTAGGAGCTTGAAAACTTTTTAAGGTTTTCTCCATGCGATGAGTTGATTTCATTAGCAGAATAAGCTTGGCATTTGTCTAAGATTGAGGATATTTTATATGTTTCGTCATGTGCTTCTGGTGAGGTTGTGTCATCTATAAAGTGTTTGAAGGGATTATACTTGTGTACTATTTTGTCTTTGCATGAAAAGCAATAGAAGTTGTCATTAATAATTTGTGCTTTTGATTGTGAAAAACACTTTGAGTGGGCAATACAATTACATCTACTGCACTCAAACAACGGCTGACCCATGTAAACATTTTTCAGGCAATGGTTACAGTTTTCTCTCAAGATTTTGTTGATCATACCTGGCGATCATCAGGACTAGGTAAGCTTGCAGCTTGCGATATCGGCTCGTTCTGTGTCTTGCTAGGGGTTCGGGTCCTCCTCCTTATTTCAGCTCCTCTATTTAGCCTGTTAAATATAGCTTTCTTAATAATAGCCGCAAATCGTTTAACACCAGCCTCATTTAGGTGCAACAAATCAAGTCTACGGTTTTTATCAAGTTTCTTCGATAGCTTCTCAGACAGCAAACAGTTGCGATCTAAGAAGTCATCGAGACCGCGGACATGTGATACACCCAAACTAGGCTGATCTAAATCATTGAATATACGTGAGTTAAAATACAAAGCTTTTTTATTAAGCTCGTTAGACTTGGTAGGCAGTATCGGAACAATGAAAATTTTAATACTACTATTAACTTGTCTAATTTCGTTAATTTTAGACTTATACAGCTGAAACAGCCGATCAATGTCCTCCTGATTTCTAACATCGTTCTTTTTTAGATTGTTAATGCCACAAGATACTACGATGTTGTTGTAGCCACAGCACCACTCAGGCTTGATGTCCTCCATTGTAGCGGCCCAGAACCGTTGACCCGGCATTAGCTCACCAAACGAGTTTAGTTTGCTAGTTCCAAAGGCAAGGTGGCCAGTATTGGAATCACCGACTATGCATGTTGAGTTGCGATTTTTCCAACTAACTGATCGGAAAGTGAGGCTGTATCGCACTCCTTTCTCGACAGAGCCCTTCTCTATTCGGTGCGAGAAGAAGTCCTGCGATCGCCGAGTCATTCGGTACATTGATCTGTCACCGCAGTCTAACTTGAGACTGTCAGTCTTGGAGCTTCTGTCAGCAAACAAGATCTCACAAGGTTCACCCACTGTGATCGTATAAATTGACGATTCGGGGTGGATTGTGATCTCATTATCCGAGTGTTCTGGTAGAAAGCTCTCCTGACCAACGTATCGATTGACCAAGCAGGAGTTGATAACTGGTGCTGCTCCTTTCTTCTTCAGCTCGGGATAGCTCTTGTAGAACTCTTCAGCCTGCATCTTATTGATCGAATCCACTAGGGGTTGCAAGGCTTCAGGAATGATAGGCGGACTAGTGGTCGCTTTTGACCCTACATAAGAATATGGATGGCCAAACGATTTCACTGAGTGACCATTCTCATCATTAAATTCAGTGGCTGTTAGGAAGTCAACAATGGGCTGCGCAGCGTGTTCATCAATCAAATCGTTGATAATTACTGCCGGGACCATACCGGATGGGACTGCAGGGGGCTCAAACACGTGAAAAGAAGGAGGAGGAGGAGGAGGAGGAGGAGGCGTAGCAACATGTTGTGGTTGTGATGTGGCCGTGGTTGTTATGCTCTCGAGTTTCTCTGATAAGGCCTTCAGCGTTGAATTGGTCTTGTCTTGTTGCAGATTCAAGTGCGTGAGACCTGTGTTGATATCTGATAAGGCCACCACTCTCTCAGCAATCAGATTGTAGCTGCTACTGATTCTGTCTGTGTCTGCAATCAGGGAAGTAAGTTTATCCTCAAGGGAGGTTATCTGTTTCGTAATATCTGGAACAGATATTTTACGAGTATCACCCGTTAAATCTTTTTTAAATCTTTGCACTTTGTGCTTTGACTGTTGACGGATGTTACTCGTTTAAATTTCTCCGAAGTAGCACGCACCGCTTTCTTCTCGAAATGCAAATGTTAGCCCGAGGCAAGTGCTACGCCGGCCGGCTAATCTATTAACAATGGACAAGTAAACCTTAACTGGGCCGCGCTCAGCCTGTCATTACGCCGAATCTAGCTATTCTGCTTCAAATCAATTTTACCAACAATAAAACTTCGCTAATTTCCTTAATATTTGACGGATGTTACTCGTCTAAATTTCTTCGAAGTACAAAGTAGCGCGCGCCGGGCCAGACCATTAACAATGGTCAACTTAATATTAGTACTTGAACTGAACTTTGTTGACGAACTGCTTAAACATTAAATCAATCACACAATAATCTTCCCTGCCTATACCCCCTCCCTCAGCATTTCAATTCTATACCCCTATTATAGCTGGCTGACAGGATCCTGCCGGCCAGGGGTATGTATTAATAGGGGGTGCACCATAAAAATAAACTTGCTCGGATTTTGAAATTTTTTGTACCATTGTTTTCTAGAGACTGTGAGAATTTTCACAATACTAAATTTGTCATACCTTTTTTGGAAAGATCAGTGAGTTTCGACTAATCGCCTAGGTGCCATATTTGATGGTGCGCGGCTTTTGGAGCAAAATTAGCTGTAAAACTCGCGTAATTTGACCAAATTTGACCAAATTCGTTGATTTTTGTCGTATTATTTGGATATATCTTCAGTTCCTTGAATGAGATCATTTTGAAAATTGGCGAAGACCTTCCAATAGGGCTTTCACAACTGTCCGAAAAATTTGGTGGATATCGGAGTTGATATAGTGATCAAAATGGAGCAAAATACGCTACTTTTAGCTGTAACATAATGTCTGATGGTTGGATATGCTTTAAACTTTTCGGACACCTTCCTTGTAAGTCTATGAGTAAGCTTACCAATTTTTGTTGCGATCGGAGGTCGGGAAGGATACTTAATATTTATTTGTTTGAAGAAAATTGTGCTGGCCGAAATTAGCGCTAAAAAACCATCCTACAGTCGGCACGCGCGGCTCACTGTCGATGGCGCACTACCTAGTATTAAGTTTAATTGACGATGTCAATTCATGGCAGCTCGGCGCGGCACAGTAGCGCATCTCGCCGATCTGATTGACCATTGTTAATGATCTGGCCCGGCGCGCGCTACTTCGTAGCTCGTGCCGTCGGGCCATTAACATTTCGAGAAGAAAGCGGCGCGCGCTACTTCGAAGAAATTTAGACGCGTAACATCCGTCAACGATCTGAGAGAAGCCTTATTGAGTGGCCTTATTGAGAAGCCTTATTGAGTGCGCGGCGCGGCACAGTAACGCATCGCGCTACAAGTATAAAGTATGGGGGTTTTAAGAAGGCAATACAAAGGGGGAGGGGGTCTGGCAAATGCTGACGTCATTAAGCCGTAGTACATACTGATACATAATGCAATTGCTGTGAGCTGTTGCGGCGCAGCTTTTTATTGCAGTTTTCATTAAAATGTTGGTATTTTTCCGTTGATTGTGGTATCATTTTGACTCCTCCTCCAATTTAAATACCGTAGCTAGATGAAAAACAGTAAGAATATAAAACAGTAACACTGATATGAACTGAATGCTGACAGTGACATCAGCTTTAAATGCTCCGGGCGACCAGTTAAGATGGACGCGAAACAACCATCTTCATTTCACCGATCATAGCATAGCCGATAATAACAAAAACTGATAGCATGTGATTTAGTCAGACATGTCAAGTCTCTAAATATCATCTTATGAACTGTTCCACTCATACTCCTCTTCAGCCATATTTAGAATGGTATCGTCAAGTTCCGTTTCGTTGACGAAATGTCTCTGAAGAGTCAAACCTTTCGGCACAACCATCTGGCCGTATTCATCGTATTCATCGTGGTTATAATCAGCTGCTCCATAATCAGCTGTTGTATCATCCTGAGGATACGATTCATCGTCCCATGACCCATCATAATATTGATTGTTATCTTTCTTATTGAAAGTTATCTGTGCTTCGGGTTGACCATGACCCTTCGGTTTAAACGAGACCAAATCATACTGTTCTTTGTTTGAGGATGTTGGTTCGTTGCTGCGTCCTGTAATGAAAACCGAGTTATGAATCAAATCTTGAAAACATGGCAATATCTCAACTATGGAAGCGCATGTGTGTCAAAAAAAATAATGATACACATGCGCTTCCTAGGTAGCGTATGTGTGTGAAAAATTTTTTTGATACACATGCGCTAGCAGGTTTATCATGTATATCATTAGGTGGCCCATGTGTGTCATTTTTGTAAAATTGCTGTAAAATCTCTATTTAATATTCTAATCGCTATCTTTATCTATTTATATATGTATTTTATCCTTATCTCTATTTTATCTTGGAAACTCCTCTCCGCTCGCCTCCCGTGTGAAACGAGCGCGCCTGCACGCTGCAGTGGCGCGAAAGCACATGGTTAGGTTAAAGCGCGTGTACTGTTGCTGCACAGTGCACAGGCTATAATGTTAATTGACGATGTCAATTCATCGCAGCTCGGCGAGGCACAGTAGCGCATTTCACCGATTTAGCGTTGCAAGAAGCATAATCAATAATTGAATGCGCGGCGCGGCACAGTAACGCATCGTGCTACAAGCTATAATATTTGTAAACATACTCATCGGAGAATGGAGCTATGGAGGAATGAAGCTGCCTGCTGCGCGTGCGGTAGAATAACAGGCTGAGCGCCGCCAAGTATTGCATATTGAAGCGTGTACGCCGACGAATGACAGGCGAGCTCCTGTGTCCTGGGATCGTGCGCGAAGATCGAAATGCAATTCATGTATCAAGCCAACTGCCAAGTGCCAACAACAATGTGTTTATTGTTATAAATGATAATGGACTAACCCGTTTCGGGATACTTCGTAGCAACTAGCAAGCTTGCCGCGAATCGATCCAATAATGCTTCTCGTCGTAAGTGGTAAGGCCACCTTGTTTGTCGTTAGATATAGGCAAAATGCACCTGCATGCACCCAGCACCCCTGCGGACCTCGCTGAGCTGCTATGCAAAGTGAAAAAGTAACAACTCAATGGATGGTTAGTGGTTACCCGACCCGTACCGTAATGGGTGCTACATGCCTAGCATGAAATATTTACTTACTTACTTGTGCACTTAATTTGTGTATTATATGTTCATAATCATATAAATTCGGCGGAATGACAAGCTTGAGGCTGAGCGCGGCCCAGTAGGCCAGTAAACTTCGAATCGAAGAAATTAAACGAGTAACATCCGTCAACTAATAGTTATATGTAATAATTAAAAACAAACTTTGCTTGTTACCTGAACTTAGAATTTTATACAATTAATGTAAGATTAAAGTCGTGTTTTTACCAATTTCCCTGCACCATCCGGTAAATTTATTACCCTCAGCCCTTCGTTGTGGGCTGCGTGGTCGTATCGTGGCTTTCGCCACGGTATATCGGGGGCGAAATGAAATACAAATGAGGATCGCGACGCGTGACTTGTAGGTTTATAACCTACCAGGACGCGCGCCGAGTTGGACTCGTCGACGGTCCTGATTAATATTTGAAGCAAATATTTATGACTACAAGTATCACCCGTTAAAGAAAGGATTGGAAATTGAACTCGCCGGTACGTCGACGGATGATGCTTGTCTAAATTTGTTCGAAGTAACACGAAAAACTTTCTTTTCGAAGCGAAATGTCTGTGTTACTGGGCGGGCGCTCAGCCTGTGCCTTTTCGATGTCATTCCGCAACCGTTTATCATTTACGAACGAATAAAAACAACGTCAATATTTTACATGTCACAGTTAGCTGGCAGTACGGCCCAGTCAATAAATTGTGCATCGCGCCGATCTAGCAAAAAAACATTATTTGATGCGCTGATCAGTCTTCTAAAACTAATAAATATAAACATTGTTTCTTTTGTCCGTAATTGCCTGTTACTGCGTGAGAATTACAAAATAATTACAGCACATTTACAAAATAAGAATAATGAAAAAGTAAACGTGTTTTCTCGGTTATAATTCATGCTTGTGACATGGCTATGACGCCTTTTTCTTACATGGTTATGACATGGTTATGACATGGTTATGACATGGTTATGACATGGTTATGACATGGTTATGATATGGTTATGACATGGTTATGACATGGTTATGACATGGTTATGATATGGTTATGACATGGTTATGACATGGTTATGACATGGTTATGATATTGTTATGACATGGTTATGACATGGTTATGATATGGTTATGACATGGTTATGACATGGTTATGACATGGTTATGACATGGTTATGACATGGTTATGACATGGTTATGATATGGTTATGACATGGTTATGACATGGTTATGACATGGTTATGATATGGTTATGACATGGTTATGACATGGTTATGACATGGTTATGACATTGTTATGACATGGTTATGACATGGTTACGACATGGTTATGACATGGTTATGACATGGTTATGACATGGTTATGACATGGTTACAACCAAAACTCCTTCAGACCAATTTTGAACCATTATGAGCACTTTCAGGATACAATTCATTTCCGTTCATTTCCGTTCATTCTATGAACCTGGGTCATTTGGTGCGACTTTCGATGACCTCTAGGCCTAGCTTATGACACTATCTATCATAGAAAACCGAATTGGGGGTTCCCAGCCCTTACGTAATAAGTCTCAAATTGAAATGACACACATGCGCCACCTATTGATTTACATGATAAACCTGCTAGCGCATGTGTGTCAAAAACAAAAGTGACAGACATGCGCTAGCAGGTTTATCATGTAAATCAATAGGTGGCGCATGTGTGTCATTTCAATTTGAGACTTATTACGTAAGGGCTGGGAACTGCCAATTCGGTTTTCTATGATAGATAGTGTCATAAGCTAGGCGGAGGCCTAGAGGTCATCGAAAGTCGCACCAAATGACCCAGGTTCATAGAATGAACGGAAATGAACGGAAATGAATTGTATCCTGAAAGTGCTCATAATGGTTTAAAATTGGTCTGAAGGAGTTTTGGTTGTAACCATGTCATAACCATGTCATAACCATGTCATTTCGATTTGAGACTTATTACGTAAGGGCTGGGAAACCCCAATTCGGTTTTCTATGATAGATAGTGTCATAAGCTAGGCCTAGAGGTCATCGAAAGTCGCACCAAATGACCCAGGTTCATAGAATGAACGGAAATGAACGGAAATGAATTGTATCCTGAAAGTGCTCATAATGGTTCAAAATTGGTCTGAAGGAGTTTTGGTTGTAACCATGTCATAACCATGTCATAACCATGTCATAACCATGTCATAACCATGTCATAACCATGTCATAACCATGTCATAACCATGTCATAACCATGTCATAACCATATCATAACCATGTCATAACCATGTCATAACCATGTCATAACCATGTCATAACCATGTCATAACCATGTCATAACCATGTCATAACCATGTCATAACCATGTCATAACCATGTAAGAAAAAGGCGTCATAGCCATGTCACAAGCTGACTACTATGATTGCATTAACAATAAAGCGTTATTCTAAAAATAATTATGAATTATAATTGATTGACGATGTCAATCCGTCGAGATCGTTGCTCTGCAAGAATGCTAGTTTGCGCGGCGCGTCGAAGCGGCGAAGTCCTCCAAGAATTATAACCGAGAAAACACGTTTACTTTTTCATTATTCTTATTTTGTAAATGTGCTGTAATTATTTTGTAATTCTCACGCAGTACAGGCGATTTGAATTACGGACAAAAGAAACAATGTTTTATATTATTAGTCTAAGAAGACTGATCAGCGCATCAAATAATGTTTTTTGCTAGATCGGCGCGATGCACAATTTATTGACTGGGCCGTACTGCCAGCTAACTGTGACATGTAAAATATTGACGTTGTTTTTATTCGTTCGTAAATGATAAACGGTTGCGGAATGACATCGAAAAGGCACAGGCTGAGCGCCGCCCAGTAACACAGACATTTCGCTTCGAAAAGAAATTTGTTCGTGTTACTTCGAACAAATTTAGACAAGCATCATCCGTCGACGTACCGGCGAGTTCAATTTCCAATCCTTTCTTTAACGGGTGATACTTGTAGTCGTAAAATATTTGCTTCAAATATTAATCAGGACCGTCGACGAGTCCAACTCGGCGCGCGTCCTGGTAGGTTATAAACCTACAAGTCACGCGTCGCGATCCTCATTTGTACTTCATTTCGCCCCCGCTATACTGTATACCGTGGCGAAAGCCACGATACGACCACGCAGCCCACAACGAAGGGCTGAGGGTAATAAATTTACCGGATGGTGCAGGGAAATTGGTAAAAACACGACTTTAATCTTACATTAATTGTATAAAATTCTAAGTTCAGGTAAACAAGCAAAGTTTGTTTTTAATTATTACATATAACTATTAGTTGACGGATGTTACTCGTTTAATTTTTTCGATTCGAAGTTTACTGGGCCGCGCTCAGCCTCAAGCCTGTCATTCCGCCGAATTTATATGATTATGAACATATAATACACAAATTAAGTGCACAAGTAAGTAAGTAAATATTTCATGCTAGGCATGTAGCACCCATTACGGTACGGGTAACCACTAACCATCCATTGAGTTGTTACTTTTTCACTTTGCATAGCAGCTCAGCGAGGTCCGCAGGGGTGCTGGGTGCATTTTGCCTATATCTAACGACAAACAAGGTGGCCTTACCACTTACGACGAGAAGCATTATTGGATCGATGCGCGGCAAGCTTGCTAGTTGCTATGAAGTATCCCGAAACGGGTTAGTCCATTATCATTTATAACAATAAACACATTGTTGTTGGCACTTGGCAGTTGGCTTGATACATGAATTGCATTTCGATCTTCGCGCACGATCCCAGGACACAGGAGCTCGCCTGTCATTCGTCGGCGTACACGCTTCAATATGCAATACTTGGCGGCGCTCAGCCTGTCATTCTACCGCACGCGCAGCAGGCAGCTTCATTCCTCTATAGCTCCATTCTCCAATGAGTATGTTTATAAATATTATAGCTTGTAGCACGATGCGTTACTGTGCCGCGCCGCGCATTCAATTATTGATTATGCTTCTTGCAACGCTAAATCGGTGAAATGCGCTACTGTGCCTCGCCGAGCTGCGATGAATTGACATCGTCAATTAACATTATAGCCTGTGCAGCAACAGTACACGCGCTTTAACCTAATATATATATAACCATGTGCTTTCGCGCCACTGCAGCGTGCAGGCGCGCTCGTTTCACACGGGAGGCGAGCGGAGAGGAGTTTAAAGATAAAATAGAGATAAGGATAAAATACATATATAAATAGATAAAGATAGCGATTAGAATATTAAATAGAGATTTTACAGTAATTTTACAAAAATGACACACATGGGCCACCTAATGATATACATGATAAACCTGCTAGCGCATGTGTATCAAAAAAATTTTTTCACACACATACGCTACCTAGGAAGCGCATGTGTATCATTATTTTTTTTGACACACATGCGCTTCCATAATCTCAACAGAAAAATAATCTCGAAGCAGTGCGCTGCTGCAAGTTTAATTTGGCTCGCAACAGTGATAGAGATATCATCTAGCGACATGATCGATCAACCAAACTGGAGAAACCTTGTCACGTGCACAAACAAACTTTTGTACATTAAATCCCCAATTTACCGCGGCTTTTCCCTCCCCAAACTCCCCAAATCGTATTGCTATAATATCCTATTATATATGAAGTTTATGAATATGTGGGACAAAAACCTCCAATTCCTTTAGCATACATACCAAGCTTTTTCGATTTCCCTTTAGATTTATTTTTCTTAAACAACTTTGGCATTACGGTGTTCGTGATCTTTTTGATCCTGTGAGAAATAAGAATGGTAAACGTTAATTAGAAACCATGCCATCAGCTTAATATAATAAAGGTGCAATTAAAGTGCAAGTGGTCAGGATCTGACATTTCTAGTGTGACCTCCGACATAATTGTCCCCCATACATAGGTTGTGAGCTGTGATTCGAGTTCAGTCACCACTATTGATCTCACGAATGCTAAGAAGAAAAAGTTCAATCTGATGTGGGACCTGTAAAACAAATTTTAGCAAAAACATTGGTAGCAACAAGAGGTATTGCAATCCCTATGTGAGCTTACTTTTCTTTGTTGCTTTTCTTTTTGACTTTCTCTTTAATTTCTTAAATCTGAAATAAAAATACATTATCCAACTTATTGACATTTTATTATCTAGATGCTTTGCTTAGCTTACAGTTACTTGTTTATCAAAAATGTATTACCTCCATGGTAACAATAACATTGGTGATCAAAAAACCTTATTGTTAAAATTTTTGATGATAAGTTCTATTGATAACTTTTAAACACTAACTTGTAGCTAGTGTCAGGCACTGTCAGCTTATTTCTCTTCCATAACCACCTATAATATAAAGTTTTTTTTTAAACTTTTGATTTGTTTGGAGATGCGAATCATACACAATCATACACACCCTAATATAAAGTTAAAAGGATTACGCAACAATTAAAGCAGCTGTTATGTTGGATAATCTCAAATTTCAACACGTTCAAGAATTCAAGTCACACTCATAGTCATACCAATATGTAGGCTGACATGTACTGTCTGAAATGCATAGTCCCAGAAATATAGACTTAATAAGTATGTAACTCACCCTAAAGAAGACCGCCGAAGGTAACAAACGATACTGAGGAGCACAAAGATGGGTACAGTAAGCCCTACTCCCTTCTTCGTCAAGAAATAGGTGGGTCGTCCTGGAGAATGAGCGTCTTCAACCCAACCCGTAGTCAGATGCACCTTTTTCTGCGGATATCGGTGGTTTAAACAGCTGCTTGGTGCTTAACATGTGCTACTTAACATGTGCTACTTAACAAGTGCTACTTAACATGTGCTACTTAACATGTGCTACTTAACATGTGCTACTTAACATGTGCTACTTAACATGTGCTACTTAACATATACTTAACATGTGCTACTTAACATGGGCTACTTAACATGTGCTACTTAACATGGGCTACTTAACATATACTTAACATGTGCTACTTAACATGGGCTACTTAACTTGTGCTACTTAACATATACTTAACAAGTGCTACTTAACATGTGCTACTTAACATGTGCTACTTAACATGGGCTACTTAACATATACTTAACATGTGCTACTTAACATGGGCTACTTAACATGTGCTACTTAACATGGGCTACTTAACATATACTTAACAAGTGCTACTTAACATGTGCTACTTAACATGTGCTACTTAACATGGGCTACTTAACATGTGCTACTTAACATGTGCTACTTAACATGTGCTACTTAACATATACTTAACATGTGCTACTTAACATGGGCTACTTAACATGTGCTACTTAACTTGTTAAAATGATTATCACTGCAATATGTATCAAGAACGGGCTATCATCTGAAACTTGTTCATAAGTGTGATTCAAGAAGATCAGGTAACCTACCCCTGGAGAAAGATAGACAACCCCGACAATAAATACACCGTAATACTGGTTACTGTCCAGCCTATCATTGGCAAACTCGTAGTATCTGTCACCGGAACCCGCTGTGAAAGTGAAAGGTACTCTGTCCGGCTCGAATTCAGCGATTGTTACTGCTTCGTTAGACTCGGGTTTGTCCTGATGCCTTTTTAACTGCAATAGAGTACGATGGTAGCACATTTTTTAGCCCACAAAACAATGTTCTGCTCAAGAGAAGCAGAGTGTATTTGTAATACTAATAGTTATAAGAGTATCCTAATGAAGTCTCTAAAAACGAGATACTTACATCCAAAGCATACTCCTTAGGCTCATTTAAGAAAGTGGGTCGTCCGATTCGTTCTTTTCCAATTTCACTATGTTAAGAAACCATTTCCTACAATAAATTGTCAAGAGGATCGTGCCGTATCTTGTCGATAAGTCACATGAATATACGGAAATTCAGGAATGTAATAAATAGAATTCTCAAATGATCTGAAAATTAGTTACGGCTGCACTTATCAGCAGTAGACCTTTTCCAAAACAGTAAACGATTAGATGTTAACTTACTGTATACCGTGGAATCCTCCATGAGATAAGTGGAACTTGAAGGACTTAGTGTCGCTGGAGATGGTTGTTGATGTGAACAGAGGATCTTCACTCTGATCTCCTCTCCTGAAGCGGGTTTCAGTATTATCTCCTTGTCAGCCGGAATCTCCTTAGAAACTATGTCAAACTGAAACAATGAAGTCAGACTACAGTTATCTTTGCATCAATTTTCTGAGTTGTCGGGATTAAAATACTGTAGCTAGGTAACCAAACAGCTTATAAGTATGTATTATGCCTTTATAACCCTTTACAATTTACCTCTTTTTCATAGATTGTAATAACTCCATCCACTTCTGTATGATCGCCTTCATCCACTACTATTTTTTCGTGAGGTTTAGGTTCTTTTTTATGGTTCTTTCTTTCAATCTCAGGTTGATACTCCTCAGGCTTCTCTTCTTCGCTGTCATTTTCATGGTTTTTTCTTTCAATCTCAGGCTTATGCTTCTTTTCTTTGCTGTCACCGTTATGATATGGGATTTCAGTTCTCTCATAATAATAGGGGTCATATCCTCATCATCATTCATACTTCATCATCCTCTTTGCTATCCGCTCGGTCACTATTTTCTTTTCTATCCTTTTTGTCATCATCGTTTCCATCCGTACTGTTGTCATCCTCTTTACTATTCGTGCTTTCATAATCTTGTTATCATCCGTTCCATCGCCATCATCGTTGATATCCTTATTGTCATCCCCCTCTTTGCTATCTGTACGGTCACCATCTTCTTTGTTATCTGTGTTGTCGTCATCACCATCTTTGCTTTCCGTACTATCATCCTCTTTATTACCCGCACCGTCGTCATCTTCTCTCATGCTCTTCCTTTCAATCTCTGGCTTGCTATCTGTACCGCTGTCATTATCTTTGCCATCCATACTGTCATCATCCTCTTTGCTATCTGTACTATCATCATTTTCTTTACTATTTGTCCTGTCGTCATCATCTTTGTTTTTCCGTATTGTCATCATTCTCTTTACTATCTGCACTGTCATCATCCTCCTTGCTATCTGTACTGTCGTCATCATCTTTGCTATCATTGTTGTCAACATCATTTTTGCTTTCCGTGCTCTCATCATCCTTCCTGCTATCCGTATTATTGTCATCATCTTGTCTGCCATCCGTGTTGTTATCATCCCTCTTTACTATTCGTGCTTTTGTCATCATCTTTATCATCTGTTCCATCGTCATCATCACTATCCTTATTTTCATCATTCTCTTTGCTATCGGTACCGTCATCATCATCTTTGGTATCCGTGTTGTCATCACTATCTTTGCTTTCCGTGCTCTCGTCATCTTCCTTGCTACCCGTACTATCATCCTTTTTAATATCCGCACCGTCGTCATCTTCTATCATGCTCTTCCTTTCAATCTCAGGCTTGCTATTGGTACCGTCATCATCATCTTTGGTATCCGTGCTGTCATCATCCTTTTTGCTATCGGCCATTGTCACTATCATCTATGCCATCCCTACTGTCATCAGTGTCTTCGCTATCAGCACTTTCATCTTCCTCATCGATTACTAACAGAATTATTTGGATTGGTATCGATGCGATCAATATCATTATATCGATCGATTGCACCATCTATATCAAATGTGTCTATGTCCAAATCACCATTAATCTCCAACTCGGACCTTGTTGTATTATCCGTATTTGGCTCATAATCATCAGGCAAGTAATTGTCATATTCCCAGTGAATGTCATCCTTTGTCCATTCTCTTTCGTCTTCGATCACCAAGTGTTCGGGCATGTGACCAGATTCGACCCTTTTTTGGCTTTTTCTATTTCATTTTTTACTACTCTTTCGTTTTATTTCATCATTCTTTCTACGAGAATCACTCGGCTTTTCGGTCTTCCTTTTTTCCGATTTGTCACTTTTAATGTTTCCACCATTCCTCGATCAATATCTTCGACTTTAGTTTTGGGACGGTTTGAATGATCCTCGGATGTAGAACCGTGGTTTTTTTTATCTTGCTTCTTCTGGTTTGATCAGTTTCTTTGCTTTTGTACGAATCCTCTACCTCTTTATCTACAT